ACATTGAAAAGCAATGGAAAATCTACAATGAAGAGAAAAGTACAGCGGAATCCTCTAAGGTGACGGCCTTTTTTGCAGTTGTTCGTTTTATGCATAGTCCGGTTGAGCCGTAGGCTCAATATAAGATACCCAACGGTGAGGGTTCCCACAATCAAGGAATGCATGTGACGAACCACTTATTATTTTAGAATGATCTCAAGCTCATAGCTGTTGGCGAACATATTATGAAAGCTATGGCGGAAGAAATCGAGAGATTCTTTGAAATAGTAAGTTAGAGGTTAATCCAACGAAGTCAGCCACCACGAGGTATGAGCTGATAAGGCGGTGCTATTGGTAAGAACTCAAGGGTACAAATACCTTGGAACAGTGGAAGACAAGACTAGTGCACCTAACCGTGAGAGCTACGATAAAGTCCGAGCAGAGATTTTAGTGAGAATTGAGCGGTTTCACAGAACTGCACTAAGTTGTAAGAACACATAAATTTAATTAAATATTATATCAGGGTGCTCAAGCTGAAGCCAGAAGACTTCAAAGCTATTGACTACGATATCAGACAATAACTATACAAAATACGGGATTCACAAGCAACCTGCATGCTTGGAAATACTTACCTGCCAAGGGACGAGCTAGGACGTACACTTCATAATGTTGAACAGAAGAGTAAGTTTCTGAACTGCTTGTAGATACTGCACTCATAACTGTCAAGCGATTTTCGAGCACTTGACAATTATTGTGTCCTATCTAAAGACTAGGGACCTCGCTGTCGAAACGTATTAGCAACCCAGAAAATGTTGTATAGCGAAATAGAAAAGAAAATTCATTATCCAAGCTATACAAGATGCGAACGAATAAAGTCTCATCCATAACTAATTCATCAATATGGCTACGATACAGAAATAGATGAAGATGAGGCACGATACTGTCATTTCCAAGATAGAAATATGCTTGGAGATGAGAAATGTGCCAACATTGTGGAGAACGTGTTGAGATGGTAGAGCATACAGCAACGCAGTGCGAAAGAATGTGACATCACGACTATACTAGAAGACACAATGAGGTCCTACGATGCATCCATTTGGATTCTGAAAAAGTATGGTCTGGAAGCATTCACGCGCATGCGAAGCCATTCTGTTCAGGATGTCGTCGCGAATGAGAACGTTGAGACCAGAGTCGATACGCGAGTGAGAACTGCAATCAGAATAAAAGCACATCGACCGGATGTTATGATTTACGATAAGAAGCGACATGAAGTAATCCTGATAGAGGTTGGCATCACTAATCAGGACAAATTGAAAGCAGTCGAGACTAAGAAAAAGCGAAAGTATGACCTACTTGCTAATAAGCTTAGGTCAAAGGTGAAATGCAGGACCAAAATAATTCCTTATGTGATGACTTGGATGGGATTGTAACGAACTTACATAAACGCTACGAGAAGGAAATTTAGTATATTTGATCACGTCGAGGCATGCATTCAATCGATAGTTCCCAAGAAAACACTTGAAAGCATCTTATTCGCTACGGATTTCACGACGACAAAGCGAAGACGATGAGCACAACAAATCTGAGCGCGAAAAAAATACAGCGAAAAAGACTAACCTCCACATTTTTCTTTCTTGTATATAAATATACATAGAAGAATTTTTCTTTCTTGTATATAAATATACTAAACAGGTTTCACCATTACCAATAAGTGCTTCAGTAATTCTATTCCATTTTTTTCACTCTCCGACAAACTGTACCACATTCTCGCTGTACTCACCCGGCACTCAATTCTGCTGGTTCCTTTACAGCGGTCAAATGCTTTCCCATGTCCTTCACAGATCTCTTTTTCTTCATTTGCTTTTATTTATAATTCTAGACTCGGTTTTTTTCCGTTTATCCTCCATTTCCTGCTTTGCTACTTTGTTATGCAATCGACTAGCTGGCAGTTCAACTGCTCGACAACTCGGTTAAAATTGTGATAATATATATATAATCACAATTTTAATTTCACTTCTAAAGAGTAAATGAAGAACAGGAAAAAAATTAGAAAAATATTCATGAGTTGACATTTGGCCACGGAGAAATGCTCCCTCATTCATTCATGCATTCGAATGTCTTTGCAAGACTAAACTGGTTTTACTATTACCAATAAGTACTTCAGTGATTCTATTCCATTTATTTTTTACTCTCAAACACACTAACTTTCACTTATAATTTGGTGTAATTTTTTCTCTTCTCTTGAAGTCTTCGCAAGACCCATCCATATTCGAACAATTACACATTCATTCTCATTAACTGCAAGCAGTTGCCTTCCTTCCTTTTTTTGTTTTTCTTGCAGGAAAGGTGAAAAAATTATATCAAACGAGTAAGAAGAGCTGATCCGGTCATGATTTGATATTGATCTCATTAATATTGAAATAATGCTCAAATAATATACTTGATTTTTTGCTGCCTCGTGTAAGCTCTGAAGTCTGATAGTCAAAAAAACAATTTAAAGTTATTTAATTTGTAAATATCCTTATCTAATTTAGTTCGCATGATGTCTTATTTTCAACATACATTATTTTATCTGCAAAGTATGCTTATATGCATAAAAAATTTTAGCATTTCTCAAATATTATTTATTGCTGCTAAGCGACGAAAATAGGCAAATAGGAGCTTTCTTGAAACTGATGCGGTTAAGATTCCGTTCATAATTCTTCAGCATAGATACTTCTGGCTGAACCATAAAAGTAACTTATAAGCAATTTTTTTCAATATTATAAAATATACAAGCACTATCAAATTCACAACAAACTGCGAATTCAACTTTCAATCAGGTATGAATAAATTTTTGCAACTACTTCCTGCTAATATGTTATAATTTGCGGCATCTTTGCGGCATCTCTAGCAATAAAGTCAATATTTTCAAGTGACGATATTTCAAAAGTTTGTTTTGAATCAAGTCTTGAATTATTGTATTTCTCGATAAATTTTACGAAACTTTCCTAACTTTTTCGTTTCTATCATTAACTTCCCTGTTTTAAACTTGTTTCATTTTACCTCTCATCTATAAATTCTTAGAGTTTTGCTTTGCATTATCGCTTCAAAATGAATAATAATAATAATATCCTTGTCTAATTAATCGTTTTGCTCACAGAAAATCTAATTTTTAATAACTTTTTCAGTTATTAGATTTAAAGGCAATATGTAATTGGTTTTCCATACTTTAAGTTAATGCGATTTTAATTAATTATTGTTTTTATTGATTAATTATGATGCAATTTTACTTTTTCTGCTGCATTCACTTGATGACAAGCTGGGAATATCATTTCCTGCGGGGTTTTGATTGACTGAATTTCGGAATAATAATTCGAAAAAGAGACGAATGATTTTAATGAAATTTCGAAAACTCTGCTCTGCTGGAATCAGTTATTTTTGAAGCAAATTAAAGTTATTTCATTGTACATATCGCTGTTAATTTTTGAGATATGATAATTTTTTAATTCACTGCTACGCTTTTACGCACATTATTGTTAACTAATACTCAATGATGCAAATAATTTAAGGCTCATCAGAACAAGGCCCTACGCAGAATCATTGTGAGATTAGATTACTGATTTGGAAAGTCAACAAAAATGTGGAATCAAGTTTTAATTAGTATATTTACCGCTTTTATTTCAGGTAGTGCTTTATTTATCTGTTTATTGCTATATATGTGATTATTGAATTTATTTATGATGAAAACTGAGGCAGTAGCTTGCTTTAACTTCTTTGTATTAGGAAACTGAAATGCATGAAAAAAATATATATGAGCATATATTGCTAAAACGAAACATTGCCAAAAAAGAAGTATTGCTTTTCAGCTACTTCTTGTCAAAACGCTGAATCACAAGATGACGGCATAACAACATTACCGCATGCATCAGAAGGCACTTCTCTATTCGTGGGGCAAAATTTCCTTCCTGTTCAGACTATTGCCCCTCGGGAGCGGGGCTTCCCTTTCCCTGCAATTAAACCGGCTCGAGAATTGAGCTCGCACAATTTTCAGCAAATTCATCGAATCCCATTGCCTTCTCGTACACCATTCGCAACTTCAAGCCTTGACAGTCTTGGCATGGAGAACTCAACTCATGATTCTACTGAACTTTCGACTATCTCAATTCCCCAACATTTTCATAATTCGACAAGAATTCGGTATTTTTGCTGATTTCACTATTTTTTCATGGCTTCATATCAACTTCAACTGTCTTTAGAAAAAAAAATTTTAATCATTATGGAAGCATGCATCCCTAAAATTCATTATTTTTAGCATACTTCTGCACTGAGTATAGCAAACAGTTAGTTTTTAGAAAAGTTCCATTTTTTTTCAAAAAATTGCAGTTCTTGTGCAAAATTTTATTAACTTGGACAATGTTAATAAATGAAAGCTAGAACCTTAACTGATATTCATTATCTGCTACTTGGCTTGGCTTGAAAGTCTTGTAATTCTGTTAAAACTCTTTTTCATGAAATATTTGTGTACCAAAATCTAATTGCGTACCGTAACAACTTTCATATGATTAATTTTAAAGCTCTTTCTTAAAAATAAAAATGCAAATCTACTAAAATTTCACGAAAAAATGGGTTGCAAAAATGAAAATATTTTTTATATAAATAGGAAGGTTTCACAATGCAACTTTCTCCTTGTTTTAAAAAAATAGACTTGGGAGTTTCAATTTGAGTAATGAATTGCCAGATTCATTCTTTGCTATACCATGTTGCGAATAATTTTCAAATCCGAGCAGTGATAGTTGTTTTGCTCGAGAATTGTGCGTTCAGTAATATCAGTTTTTTAATATTTTCACCATCGATGCAAATGGATACATGTTGCGCATCACAAATGACAGGGAAGAGAACTGAAATCTCTTGAGCAAGCAATTATATCAGAAAAAATAAAACTCAAAACAGAAATGTTTGGAAAGAAAGCAATGAGTAAAAATTACAAATAACTGATAACATTTGCTTATTTCCCTCACTGTTAGTAATAACGACGTTGATAATAGATGGATAAGAAAATATAAAATTCGTTTCAGCTTAAAAAAGACAAAAATTTATTCACAGAACTGAAGTGAATCTGAATAATTTTAAGCAATCACTAAGTTATTTTCAATGAACAATAGCAGAATAACAACCAATTTTCACCATTTGTGAAAAATAAAAAAAATGATTATTTTCTTGAAATTCAGCTATTGGCAAGAAAGAGTTTGCAGACATTAGCATAAATCTGAGCAGAAAAGATGACAGCACTGTCGGACAAATAATTATTCTAAAAGAACGAAAAATAATTGTAGAATAAAGCAAAATGAGCAAATTATCTTTGAGAGTGCAATTTTCATATTTTGCGTGTGAATCATAATAAATTGCAGAAAAAAGTTGGCAATAATAATTAATGGTTGATAATGGGCGATATTTTACTGTCTTTTTGCCTTTTGTGACCTAAAACAAACAACGAAAGCCAATGTTATTAATTTTTTTGATACATATATCTTCAAGTAATTTCCCATCATATTACCAATTTGTACTTTGATAACAGAATTTCAAGATTTTTGTTATCATTAATGTGAGTTATCAATGACTTTCCACAATTATCATGTTCTTAAGTTTTTATTTAGAGTAAAATATGTTATAATACCTGGCTCACTAGACATCAGTGCAGAAGTAAACACAATAACATGCATTGGGCCAAAAAATCAGTTACCATCATCTTTCATCATTTGGTTACAGGTCAGAAAAGTTTGATTCAGCAGATGTTTCTGTATCTGAAACAATGCTAATTATCAACGAGTCAGATAACGCAATGAAAAGCATTGAAAATTTAACAAATATAACCACAAATCCATCAAGGGATATTGATGGAACCGAAGAAGACAAATTGATTGCAGAGGTACATAGCTTTGCTTGAATTGTTTACAATGTTTGTCATGTAAAGTGTTTATTGAAATTTATTACAGAAATGAAATTTAGTATACAATGACAACCTAGTTTTGCTTTATATATGAGAGCATTACTGTTATGAACTGGAAAAGCAAGGTTTCTGATTTCATTTCATCTTTTAAATTCATTTCTTTCTGCAAAAATTCACTGCTTAATAATTTTTATTACGGAGCAATTTGTGCTAATTTTTTGATTATCTAAACAATTTAGCACAGGACAGTGATTATATCGAAATTTTAAATTAAGAAGAAATAATTCTCTCAAATGCAAAATCTCAGGAAATTTCTTCATGCAATCAATTGAATTATTATTTATCGATTAAAATATGAATTTTGCTAGTCAGAATTTCTAAACTGACACTTTTTCATTGGGATCAAAAAGAAGCTTAAAAGTTTCTTTTCAAAAGTTGTAGCAAAAGGACTTCATTGGAGTAAAAAGCAAGATAATTCGAGCAAAGAGTGATAAAAATGAGTGGGAAATAAAAATAGGACATGAGAGTACTAGTAAGGAAAATACGATAATTTGCATATGACAATTGCAATCATAATGACGCGAGATAAAGAACTTACAACAGATGAAGATGAATAAAACTTTGAACTCAAAAATTAGCTGATTCATAGAGATTATGAATTGCCTTCCTTGCTCCAATAATAATTTGAACGATGCAAAAAAATCTATCAGTGTGACTTCAAGATTATTTTGTAGTGTACAGAATAATTTTTTTCAGCTGCTCTCATATGCAACAAACACTTTTGTCATTTTGCAGTGAAGTTATATGCTCACAACTACTGAGTCATCGAAAATATAGCCTAATTACTAACAGATGATATATTTTGATTTCTTTTATCTAATTTTCATCTTTCTATAAATGTAATTGGTAATTTACAAAATTTCTTCAGAAAAGATTGAATAATTTGAATCACTTTATCCTGATACTTTTAATTTTAATAAGTTTTTAGGCAGTAGAAATAGATCCTTTTGCGGTTGAATCAAGCAGTCAATCGACTTCGACCGATCAATTTAGAATCTTCAGAAACGATTCTGAATCAAGAATAGACCAGTGGATTAATTTGCCTGCTAACAACACCTTTGTAGATACTTTAAACACCACAGCAGAAAGAGTGACTCTTGAGGAAGACTCCTCTGCTATCCAGCAGAGCACAATCCCGGTTTTCGAACTGAAATCGGAATCGGAACAGCAACCTGAGCTTGTTACATTAATAAATGACAGTTCTGTCATTACTTCAGGAACAATGTCAGTACAACATAAAATGATATCAACTGATGAGGATTCGTCCGGAAAAGAATTGGAAAAGAACACTTCGAAAATCTTAATAGAAGATGCGGAAGGTTCGTTATTAAAAAACAGTCAAACCAAAAACGATCAGAAACGGTTTTCTTTCACTTTTCATAAAAAATGGCATCAACCTTAACCAAAATAATTGGTGACAATAACATAGTTTGTTATAACGAAAAGTATAATCAAGTTTATGAAACAGAATAAGACAATCAATCAATATCATTGGAGGTTGATCTTTTTTTCTGCATTATTGATTCTGGGGCTGGAGCGTATTGTTGCACTCATGCTGCACCCGCCCCGCACTCAGTTCTGCTATGCTGACCTCCTCTGCTTCGTTGTGCAATCCATGAAGCTGATCGGATGAGATGCTTTCGAGTGTCTTCTTGAGCACTATCGATTGGGTATAGGATTCCCCGCTGTACTTTTCTCTTCATTGTAGATTTTCCATTGCTTTTCAATGTAACCGACCATCTGGAAGTTATGCTTCTCAGAAACCTGCTAATCCACATTGCCATGCTGAGCCTTTCGATACACTTAATCATGCTTTCAGTTGTGACTAACTGAATCGAACTCTTTTTCAACGCCATACCACTTGGTAAATAATCAATTTTCATGCTCTTTGCATACCGCCAGGTTCAAGAGTGCCTGCTCTTTCGTACCTTGAACCTTTCCGACAGTTCCTAGTTGGTTGTCTGCAGGTGGCAATATCTACTTGTATGACTCGTACCCCACATTTCATTGTTAACTTGTATAGGTTTAACATGCAGGTTAATGGCCTGAAGTTACTACCTTTGTTTGAGACATCTTTAGGAATCAGATACGTTGTGCCTTTGTAGAACCATGTATCCTGGATTTGCTTGGATAGCAAATCCACTTAGGTATTTCGTACAGATCTGGATGTAAGGAGATGCACTTCTTAATGAAGAAGTTGTAGATTCATCAGGATCCATCTCCTTCCAACTGAGGAAACAGGAAACTATATCTTCCTAAATTCGGCTTCAGATGGGAAAGTACCATGCACTTCAGCGTCTGGAACAAATTCTTCCAGACATTCATTGTTCCGATTATCATCGTTTTCTCTTCTCCCATTTTCGAATTCCACATCGTGGCTCAGAACTCTGATTTCTTCCGTCCCTACATTTTGGCTAACAGGTTGTTTCTTAGTTAGTTTTCTATAAAACCGCCTTCTCAACAACTAAAATCTGGCGCTTTGAACTTTGAATGCACATCTCAACTCATAAATTTTTAATATATCTATTTCCATTAATTCTCACACCTTTTGCCAGCATACTTGGGACTACATAGCAGTCCCGTTCGAGAACACGTTATGAGATTCTTGCCCCTCATATACTTTTTGGCCTGCTCCAGGTTTTTACCTTCAACTGTTTTACTGGCCAAATACCGCTCTATGAGGGTTTTCTGAGAGTTGCTTGCACTTATCTTCTTTTCTATACTTTCCTTCGACCCCGATGGCTTCTCTCGCCTCGTCATGTCTTCATAACATTATTGTGCTGCCTTGCAATATCGTTCATTTACTTGAGGGGATTCTGTATAGCTCCACGCTCTCCGATGTTATTTTCGGCGTCCACTTTATCTGGTCTATCTCTCGTTCCTGTGCTTCTTGTATCAGCACTAAATATTTCTCTTATACATTTAGATAAACCTTAACCGTAGACTCGTGTAGCATGTTTTGTGCCTTGTGCTTTGATACGTTTCATTGACCCCTCCAAAAACCGTTTCTGCGAACACGGACGTCATGCAATACTGATGATTGCAGCATTCGCTTTTTTCTTTAGTTCTTCAAGGCCAATTATGCACACAAACCTCTCGCAATACAGGGAGCGATACAAGGGCCATCCCCCTTTCGGCATTCTCTCGAAACGGTCAAGAACCGCCTTCAGCACCTCACCTGACCAGCTGCTTTGCGGAACCTCGATTCCTCAAATAATAACTTTAAACGTAATCATCCTGCTGGTTCCTGGTTCCAGTGCATTGGCAGAGTGCTCTCTTACATCCTTCACGGAGCTTTTAAAACCTGATCTAATTTCCCATTGTTTTCTACTATGATTCTAAATGTGGTTTTTCTCTATTCATTCACCACTTTCTTCTCGGACTTCTGATATACTGACTGTGCGACCACACAGCCTTCTTCTTTTCGATTTCCATCCCGTTTTGCAACGGTCTTCCGCTTTATCTCTGCCATGCGTGTTATTCTCTACTTTCTTCCCCTGTTTCGTCTTCCTTGCTTCAGAAGTACTGCAACAAGGGTTGCGTGAGCATTGTCGTTATGGTCTGTTACTTCTTTTCGTTTCTTGGAAGTCGCCTGTGTTATGGGAAATTCTTCAGAAGCGCATCTCCACCCATTAGTTAGCTGACCTTATTGATCGTTGGAATGTTCTGTCGTTTTAGTACCATTCTCACCGTTCTGGCGTGTTAGCATTATGTTTGTTGTTTCAACTGGTGGCACTGGTATTTCCTGCATTTATTCTCATAGTCGCGTTATGACTTCGCCGTAACAGATAAAAGTAGAACGAAGAAGAGAGTACAAACCAAAAGTAACTAAGAAATAATGTGTCCTTCCCAGGTTCAGTCTATCGTTCACGATTACCTCAAACTCGGTTATATGTATGGCGAATGCATCATTAGATAAGTTTTTTATCATTTATGCTTGAAATATGAGATTCAGAGTATGCAAAAGCGATAGAATGGCATATTGAAGATATGAATAGTACACTATTATCTTTTTGGGAAGGAAATGGTTCGATAATGCTGCCTGGAGACATTAATCTACGTTGGAAAGATTATCGAGAAATTGTGCAGGTAATATTTTAACAATCTCAAGCTCCGCTTCAAAGATATGTTCTTTTCTGAAGTTTAAATCTTTCGGGAAACAAGTTTCAGTTGTTCTTCATTCTCAGTTTTCAATTTAAATATTGGGTTATTGTATTTATGTATCCATCTGTATAAAAAAAATAATGAATATTTGCATAATTTGAAGGGAAGCTATAAAATAAAACTAATTTGTTTTTATCCAGATATTAATCATATATGTTGACGTACTTGGAATTTTCAGCCTGATAAAGCAAGTTTTTGGGTCATGTTAGGGAGCTTACTCTTATTTATAATCTGGATTGTCTTCATAACGTATTACATGTCACGGGTTGTCGGTCCTATTGTTGCATTTTTGCTCACAAGACTTGCACATCTGAAAGGCTACGATGTAGAAATATCAGTGGGTGAGTTAATTTGTAGTTAAGTTTGTATGAGCTCTCTTCATTTTTTTTCATATTGTATATTTTGACAACATTAGTATTTCATCGGTCTTGTTTTTCCTTTACGGATTTGTGCATGTAATTTTGTCAGCTTGAGATCAATGGAAAGAAAGTGTATGTAAAATTATTTATTAATTTTTCAGATAGCAAGAAGTATTTTCAGAATTTTTTTATTCATTTTAAATATATATAAATAAGATTTGTAGTTTGGAGTATATGCCCTGACAAGAATAAGCTTATTTTTTGCTATTGTTTGGTTCCCTTACTCACAAATAGTTGTAGCATACTGGACTTCTGTTATATGATATTTACTGAAATTTTACCACTTATAATTTCTGGAAATAGCTTGTCTGATGTATCGAATTGGCTTCTATTTTTCAGGATCATTTTCCATCAGTTTGCTTGCTGGAAAAATAATGTTTCGTGATTTTCGTTGTATGTCTCAAAATTTTTTATTTTGTTGTAACGATGGATGGGTGGTTTTTTCGTACTGGAATTACATTCCTGTAGCTCATGTTTATAAAAGGTAGATTTTTCGGGAGTGAAAAATTAACTTCTTTAATTGAAAATAAGCAGCTGATTTAAAACGATATCTTAAATGGGAAAATAGGTCAAAAGATCAAGCAAAATGAACTGGATTTTAGTGAATACTTTGTTGGAATTTTCAGCAACATCTCGAGACTACATATTTCGCTAAATGGTTTGCAGCTGCATGTTTACAATCGCTTATCTAAGTACCGGACGTTGGCACGGTTTTTTGGTCTTGAAAAGCTTTTTGCGTCGGTTAAGGAGGAAGTGGATATTAATAAAGAGCGGCGGTATACTTGTAAGTAATCAGTGTACTTTTAGAGTATTACACTTTATCGTTAAATTGGCTTATTGAGACCTAATTTTGATAAGTTTACTCGTTGCTTTTACGGATTTTGTCTGCTTGACTATCAGAATGCTATCTCAAATTTCTGTACTGGCTTGATCAGATATTTCCAATTTCAGATGTTTCTGCAGAAGAAGAGCTGGAATGGCATAAGTCTTGTGATAATTTGTGGTCTTTAATTGGATATATCAGATTTGATGTTAGTTCTGGTCGATTAATTGCTGGTAACGCATTGTTGCCATCAATGGTTGTTTGTTCTTTTGAGAACTATGCATGTAGGTTAATTTGACTTAATGTTTTTCAAAGTCGATAAATATACATATGATATAAATTGAGAGCATCATTGACTGTGATAAATGTAACGGCTTTAATTCTGAAAAGTGGACTTTTTAGTAATTTTATATGAAATGTCATTATTAATTGAACCATGGGTTTTGAGTTTGTTAATTCTATATTTTAGCTGAAATTTCACTTAAAGAATATGGAAAAGGAGAAGATATAGCATTGCTTAGTATCGTTGGTAGTACAGAAAACGTTCGCATCTCGCTGGTACAATGTAATCATTTCACTAAAAAAAAACCTCTAAATTTTAATGGTCGATGTGATCAACCTCCACGAACAATGGGTGGTGGTTTCGCGATTGTTCAGACTGCTCATCTTAATTTTTTTTATAGTCAGTCCATTCCAGGTAAATATTTTCGCCGTCTATCGCTGCTGTGATATTTTGCTATATTGCAAAAGAAATAGTATAATGTGGCATGTTGAGCAATTGTACTAACTGAGTTCATGAAAATAAATAGTCAGAGAAATTTCACATAATAGAAGTTTCATCATAATGGTAACTTTTTTTATCTCGTTGATTTAAAGATTCGGCTTTTGGAAATATTCTTTCCTTACATTTAGGTTTTGTAAAAAAAGGCCAGCAGTCAGCTACTGAAAATCTTCCTGTATGGGAATCTGTCTGGCGTTTTGATAAAAACACCATATTTTCGTACGGTCCATGGGCTGATGCTCAACGCGTTCAATTATATGAGTTCTTTTTCCCTCCAGAATATAGAGATTCAGAAGTTACGTAAGCTTTTTTACATAATTTCCATCATTTCCTTATCAGTTGTATTTTTTTTGGAAACTTTTTGTGAGTCGCTTATTTTGGTTTATGTCATGCAGACTGAGTTTTGTGTGCTTTTTATTCTTATTTAAAATAGTGATGCAAGATTTCTGATTTAGAATAATGCCTAAAGAAGGTGAACGACGCATTTTGTTATCACATGACATGAGAATTTCATTGTGGAATGATGCAGTGATTGATATATGGTTTATGAGGGAAGACGAACTGAATGCTTTGCATTTGCGTGTAAAACAAGGCTCTTCTCTTGATGTGATTCATTGACATTTGTATTAAATGGCTAAGTTTTAGTTGCTTAACAAGAGCAGCCTCAGTGATTTACTTAATGTGTATTTTCCTTCTTAATCTTTGATTATAGCTGAAAATGCCTTGGGTCACGACAGAGAAAGGCTTCGAAACTGTTCTTCGATGTTGCTTCTTATTTGTTGAGTCGTCTACTTCACTTGCATATCCGAAATTTTTCCAATGTGAAACTTTTCGACTTACTCTTAATGTTTTTTATCCACGTGTTTTCAATGGACATCAGTTATGGAAATATGCTGTCAAAATCAATAAAGGAAGGCTGTGGATTGTATGGGATCACAAACGCTTTTTTGCTGTAAGTTCTACTACTACTTTGGCATGCTATGGAAATTTTCAATTGGTATTCTGGTCATATAGCTCGGAAATTTACTGTACAAAAAATAGAGCTTGAGCACTGATTACCATTGATTTCGTGTACATTTAAAGTCTGTGTTTCATCGGAAAAAGAGCATCTAAAGCTGTATTTTGCAGGATCTTATGAACGAGTGGGTTTCGGATTCAATAGTAGATCTATTTAAATTCATCCCATACACGTGGGAATTTGAAGTAAATGCTATGGATAACTTTGAAATTACATTGTTATTGAATGACCATAATTGGATTGATGTCAGGTTAGTTTAGTACTTTTTCTTACTCTTCAATTCATTTCATGGTAGATGAAGGTGAAATAGTGATTATCTCTGTTTCTTCTGTTTCAATCTCTTTTTGCTCTTAAATTCTTTACATGTTAGATTTCGCTTAGTTTATAATTTTTCAGTACTTCATTATCTGCAGAAAATCATCTTGCTGCTATTATTGGAAAAAATATGACAGTTTCCTTTGCATTACATGTTCTTGAATTCTGCCCTAGAACAATTACTACTCTATACGAAGTATCTGCTTATCACGGCCTTGCATTGCGTGCATGGTTACCATCTGAAAGTCCATTTTACAGTGTCGTACACTCTCTACTTAAATATGCCTCTTCTCAAACAAAAAATTCATCAGCAGAATTGCAAGTTAGTTATTCATTTCTCTTATCAGTTCATTTCCAGGTAATTCTTTCTCGATTCATCTGGTATTCTGTTTGTTTCGAACGGTTTTCATATAATCCGAGAATTTTCTCATTGATTGTAGGATTGGGTTGAATTATGGAGAACTGAGAAGATTTCATTATTGTTTGAATACACTCATCATCCTTTATATAGTGATCAGCCTTCTGACCTTCCATTAAATAACACTAAGACAGCAGCGAAAGAACATTCAACTCCAATGACTTTATCTCCTGATCAGTTATTGATTGAGGTGTTTAATAGTTAATATTGGACTGAAATTAAAATTAATTATGACGCTTCAGAAATTGAGCCATTTAATCAGTTCTAATCTGGGACTGTTTAAAAGTCTTAAAATTTTCCAAACATTTTTTAGCACTTTAAAAAAAATATGTAATTCTATCATTTTTTTATTAGATTCTTTTTATTTTCTTTTTCAGATTGACATCAGCAATTCTGATATAGTATTAGTGGGCTTGATCATTCGATTGATTATTGACTTAAAAAACAATTATTTTGGACTAAATGATGAGGTATAATTTCATGAAGTTCCTAACAACCTAGGCTATCATTTTCAAGCAGAGGCTCAATAATTTATTACTAGGAAGAGTTCTTAAACTGTTCAAATGATTGAAGTTCATGTTTGAATGTATTGTTCTTGACCGTTTACAGTTTTTCATTCTAGTTAGAGTAGGTTATTCTTTGATCGAAATATTATGTAAATATCGTGTTATAATTCAAATTCATGCATTTTTATCTTTATTTGTAGTTAACTGATGTTGGTAGATGCAAAAGTGGTTCTACATCAAGTCCGCTGTACGGTAATGTGATTTGGGATGAATGTGAAAGATACCGACCACTTTCTTTACGTCTTTGTTTACGTGTTGGAAAAATTAGAGGATTATGTTTGGTTCAGAATCTATCAGTGAATTCTTCTACAAGTGAATTCAAAGTTTTACTTTTTTTCTCTCATATTTTCTAATTTGAACACTGTGTAATTTGGGATCCTTTTCCCAAATCATTTTGCGAAAAATGAGCACTATGTTTT